TTTAAATTGATGTAAAGTTATGGTGCAGACATCTGACAAGGTTGAGCAAAATGTTGTTTTCAGACGAGAACTGTACAAACATCCGTCGATAAAATAGAGGGTAGCACGTCTTTTCGTTAGTACAGAAAGTCTGGTTACTACCATTGTAGCTGCTGGCACGACACACTTCTACAGTTATCTCAAATATTATTTGGTTACCTAACTAAGATAATATTTCAACAGATCTTGAAACAGACAAGTTCATTATCTATTGTTTTCTTCTTTAGTTTTCTTCTGTTAGCTTCATCATGCATAAACGTACGTTTAAAAGGAAAAGAAGAAAGGTGGAAAGTATAAAAAGTTTATCTATGAAGAAGAAATTTAATGTTGATCGATTTCATAATACTTTTATGTAATGCTTCTAATTAATATCATGAAATATATTTAAAAATCTTTCATATCATCAACATTGTTCTTTTAGTTTTATCTCTTTTAATTGCTCTATGATACTTGTAGGTTTTGATGTGCTTTAATAAAAAGAAGTTGCAATTTTAAAATATTGGAGGAAAGAAGCTATCTCGAAGCTATAAAGCTTAATTTTTTTTAATAAATATCTTAATATACAAAAAAAATTTATATTATTTCTACCAAGATCCATACAGATCCATATAAATTTACTATTGACGAGCCAACTGGCAATAGAGTACTCAAAACAGTTCTAGGAAGTACAACTTTAATGGCACAAAAATAATTATGAAACTCTAAAATAAGTTAGCTGTTAAAAATAGATTAGCTGAGGATTTTCAGCAAGATTTACAGAAGGACCATTTAGGAACGGAATGAAGAAATAAATCATAAAAATTTATAAAAATGCTAGTAATTATATTATTTGACGTAGACAAGACACAGATGATGTGATATGAATAATTCAGAACACACACAGAGAAGACATCAAGGATATCTTTTGGCATGCAAATCAATACGTTCAGTATCCGAAGAAGTGACACGATTTATTCCGGCTAACTCCCGGCAAATTTTAGCGAAGTTCTACAAGGAAAATTACGGCGAATCGACGTTACTCGTCTCGCTGGCAGAGTTTTCGGTGTGGCGGCCGTTTTATTTATAGCGGAGGAGGTCGCGGTGCGTTCTAAAAGCTCCTCGACTCACCAGTATCACCAGCACATTCACACCGAGCTCGTCTCGCACCGGAACTTAAAAATCATCCATGCGATAGATCGGATCTGCAACTCGAAAGAGAAAACGCTTTTTGAAAATCGCAAACCGGTTTTCCGTCGATGCGATAACTTCGAGTATGTCGCTTTTGATCAGGGTTCTAGAGCCCTCTGGGAAATGAGCATGTGACTTTTGTAACGTTGCAATTGGGTAACAAAGTGATCGATTTGGTGTTAGTGGAGTTGAAGTTTCACGTGTCGCGCATGATTAAAAACTAGTTTATTGATAGGTAGATTGATCGAGGACCTCGTGTGTCGGTGCGTACAGTGATTAATCACCGCGTTTATTAAGATTAACTTTTCTCAGAAGTGCTTGTGGATTGCAATGATTTTACGGCCAGATTTCTGAATTTCTAAGAATAATTAGAAACCGATATATATCATTTATTATAAAATTATAATTATTTTTAACAGGTCATTATTTAGCAAAATAGTCTTGAAATTTGATAAAAATGTCTGTGTAGTCAAATATAGTTAATTCGAAACACATAATTATCAATATATTTAATTTGATTTAATCTGCTGTTTTGCTCCATAAAATTAGATGTAAGAGTTTTAATCGGTTTATATAACTCAAAATGCAATTTTTTAATAATTGCAAATTTTATCACTGTCTCACAAGTTTTATCTTTGATGCTAAAAATTGGTGCTGATGAGTCAAGGTCAGGGCTAGAGATTTATGTGTCTGATATACTCTTGAAGATGTCACAGACTGTTACACTAACTTGTCGGCATCGATCCAAAGATCGGACGATTCTAAAGCAGCAGTTTCCAATTTTCAGAAGGCATAGCATAGCACTAGATATTATCTATTTTCTCAAAAGTATAACGTCAGTAAAATTCGAATATCGAATATACATACATAGTTACATTTATATCACTAGGTAATTTTATATTATTGGCTAGTTTAAACGAGTATTAAAACGAGAAGCTTAAAATGAGGACGTTTTTAAAAGTTTAATTTGGTATTTAGTGCAAAATAAGAAAAACCTGATAAATTCAGAATCCATTTATATCATATTAAGCAGCATTTTATAAATTTTAAGTAATTAAACTACATCATAAATTTGATTACAGATAAAAAAGAATTACTCATATATTCCATAATGAATGCTAATATTATCATAATGTCAAATGCATATAGTATAGTATACAATGTATACAAAGTAAGGTTTGTGCAATCCAGTAAACAATTCCAACAACCACAAATTTTTAAATAATCGTAAAAAAACTGCCATCCACCAATTTTGTTGCGAAAAGCGATAACTTTGTTTCTTAAATCTTTAATTGAGTGTCTGAATTGACGGACGGTCCTATTTCTATTCCACATGGAACGTATGTGTGTCGTGTATTTATGTCGAGTAAATTAAATGAAGACAAACGATAGGTCGTGATAAATGCGGCACCGAACCAGAACTCGACGAATCTCGTGTCGGAAGTTGCCGGACTCGCGAAGCTGACGAAAACTGCTCCAGTCGACTGGAGACGCGCGTGACCGATACCTTCTTCTCTTTGGTGACAACGTGCATCGGAATATCTTTGGTGCACCCCGATCTACCATATATCAACTTTCTTGTCTTTCAAGATGGCACATCTACGGCGCCCAATGAGGCGGGAGCATTACAAGCCTTTTGGAAGAAGAAGGGTAAAACATGTTTATAATGTTTCTAATTGTTATGTCGGAGTTAACGAGGCGATTTGGGCATGCTATTGTGATATTTAACGGGCAACAGATCTATTTTCGATGCAAAGCGACTGGATATTAAAATAGTGCCGAAAATCTCTGCAACAGCTACTACATTCGATTGACTTGAAATTCTCGTAATTATATTATAACAAAATATCTTGTGATAGATTTCTTATATTTTGAGAGAATATCAGGATTTAAAATTTTAATACGAATAAAGACTTACTGGTAAAAATATCAGTTTGAGGATATTCTATTATAAAATGAAACAGAAATCGCATGCGTGAAACGGATCGATAATATCTAAGAGATACTTTATTTAACAGTCCGATATTTCCATTGGAAAATGCTATTTATTCGTAAAATCATATTATGGATATAAATGTTTGTAATAGCGAGTACCAATTCGTATCGCGCACATGCGCGTTCTATCTTTGCAAGCACAATGCACTTAAATTTTATTTTTGTGCCACGTGACCGCGATGAAAGGAGCTGCCGTCACGCTCGTATAGTTCGCCGATCATTTATTTATGAACTGCGATTTCGAGATCGAAGCCGTTACCCCGCATGTGTCTATAGGGTGTCCTGGACTTCTCGTACTTTTGCTTCCTCATAGAGGAAGCTTTGTTTTTTATCTGCGAAACAATCAAATAATTTTAAATTTACGTTTTCTTAATAAAACAAATCTATACAAAATTTGAAATTTATCTATAAATTACACAAATAAAATAAGAATATAGTAAGCGGCTCTCTATAGATCTAGAAGCGGCAACTTTAAACAACGGAAATAGTGAAACAGGGAAAAAGAATAAGAATAAAGTGATATCTGCAGTAACCTTTAGAGTTGACTGCAATTTAGACTGCAGAACCGAAGGACAGCAGACTAAAAAGGGGCGTCACGCGCACACGCACCCTGCGTGACCTATATAGATGACCTAGATTTGCAATTGGATGAAACCGACTGCAGAAAGTAATTTGTAATTCTTTACAAGCTATTTTTAATATTATAATTTTTTTAATTGATATACCATTTGAAAGACATGCCAAGTTATTTAGCAGAGTTATTTATTGTATACATGAATGACAATTATGCGTAAAATATTCTCTCACAGGATGTGGGAATAATTAATTACTAATTACTAATTAAAAATATTATTATTAGCATAATTCTTTATAGCGTAGTTTGAAATATTGGAGCAACAATGTTTATTGTTGGTTGCAATCGGAAGAACTGATTGATGATTCGTGATCGAACCAGTAGCATAATAGACGATATACATAGTACAAAGGATGCACGTGAATCGACACTGATCGAGATAAGAGCAATAATCTTTTTTATCTGCAAATCCCCCTATATAACATATGGGACACTTATACGCGATCATGGCGTGAATAAAAATGATTGGTTTTAAAAAGAAATCAGCATTGCTTCGCTCCAATATAACGCTAACGATAATAAAAGCGATCAGCTGGGCGGCATATTAGAATCAAGCTCGATAAGAGAATGCTACGTGTTATCAGTATGCAAAATTTATTTCCACACCAGATTGAATATAATTCTTCATAACTGTGCAAAAAGAGAAACTTAAAATTTTCCCTTTAGAAATAGAAATAGAGAAAATATTAACTTATTATACCGAATAGCTGTGTCAATCATATTTTTATTGACTTAGCTATATGTAGAGTAATTTCGTTGACTTGGCTATATTATAAATGTCACATGATATTAATTAGAAATAGATATAAATGTAAGAAGAAAAAGATCGGAATTTTTTCCCTCAAATAAATTTTTGCTCGCTTACGCGATTGTATGTGATGTGTATACGTTCGGCAATTCGACCCCCTACGGTCAGTCGGTTATTCTTGAGCGACGCTGTATGCACGTACACCGGGTAGGACACGTTGCCGTCAGGGTGCAGTGGCCTGGCCGTTGTCGTGCGGGTCGCACTCCGGGTGGTTTGCGCGGAGGAGGACGCGGCGCGGCGGAGCGGTGCTGAGAACGAAGCACCCCCCGGATCGATATAGTAACGGGGGTGTCGTCCGACCGTTCTCCAGTGGCGCCCGCGTACGGACGAGTCACAAAATGGCATTGCCAGAGAAACTGCGACCCGGCCAGAAGGCGCACACGGTCGCAAGGACCATGTAGAATCAGTCCGTGCAGCACCCTCTGACTATCGCCCTCGCGGTCTACCGTTACGTGACGGCTCGTCAACCAGTGAAAGCTCGCGGGGGTGAAAGATATAGCGTGCCGCGAACAAGCGTGATGCAAAGCGGTCGCGTTTAAGGGGGGTGATTTTTCGTTTTCAATCGCGATCGAAGAAAATTCTTGAAATTCTTCACGGTCGAATTTCTTTTAAATAACTGAGTACACTTAGTGATACCGAAGTGGTCGTATATTAAAAAGAGCGCGGACACGCGTGGTGCGCAAGTTTAGTAGTTTTTGAAACAGCCCCCTTCATGTCGAGGAAAAGAAAGGGTTGTCAAGATGAGAAAACGTGATATATTTGGTGCTTGGATAGGATTTTCTAGTTGTAGGAGAAGGTTCGTAAAGGGTACAGTGTGAACTGATATATAGGATTGAGAATAACAGGACGAACGCAGGCAACCACAGGTGAAAATTGATAAGGCCGCGATCGGTGCTATTTTGTCGATCGACCAGCGAATTGGAATGTGGTAACTGCACTCGAGGTTGCACGATGTCGTTGACCTGCTTTCAAGCGCCACGGTGCTGTGGTGTATCATCGGTTTAGCGACTTTAGCGTGGGTCGCGATGAAAAATTTCGATTTGCGAAATGGATTTTATCTATCATGTAATATTGTTAACTTACCACTTTGCTGACGTTTCACGTGGGAATTATTTTTAAAGATTAATGAAGGTGTAATGGCTTAGAGAAAGATGTCTTATCGATCTGCGAGGTAATTGGTTTTGGTCTGATATTTCGCATCGGGTTATCGAAAAGAAAAGAAAATAAGCTTCGAACGATTTAGAAGAATGCTAGAAATTAAGTTCGCAGACGCAGATTATGACTGTTATTACTCGTTCTATTTGTTTAACCGAAGATTAAGTTTGTAAAAAAGGGGTACAGCATGTAAATGGAGCATGCATTGTGTAAAAATTATAAAACTTTTTGTACTGATAGAAATATTGTAGATTCTTTGATATATTTCCAGACAGCATATAGATTTTTCTTGTATTTTTCTCTGGTCTTTCGTCGAGTGACCTTTCTTTTGTGATTTTATAGAATTTTGAGCAAATTTATATATATATTTCTCTCTCTTATTTTAGTTTATATCATTTGTAATTTTTTATTATTATATCGAGTGTACGTCGACATTTCAATTGGACGAATTCAAAGACACGGATTTCTAAGAGGGTCATCAGTATCGATTATCTAGGAGTGAAGTTGATAATTCAAGAGTCGATTTCGCGTTTCCTCGAGTTCCACTTTCGATTGACTGACGAAGCTAATAACGAGAATATTTGCGAAGTTATTTTTGTAGATTAATTAATTATCCAGATAGATGAGGTGATCGGGGAATTGCGTGCAACAACGCTCGATGTAATCCTCTTCTAAGGTTACTTTACAGCTAATCCAATTTTTATTTTTTCACACTAATTGTATGTTAGTATTGTCTGTGTTTTTTTCAAAGGCGCGGCATGTTCAGTAATGAAAAACGTGAAAGCTTTCTCCTTTGAAATATTATAGAAAAATTACTGTAAATTAAATTCTCAATTCCTTAATGCATCTGGTTCATATATCGGTTAAAAAGTAGCACGGTTTATTCTAACTGTATATTTATTTTAATAGAATTTCATAATGTAAAACAAAGTTTTATTAGAGAACTTTGCACTGTAAAGTTAGTCGCTTGGTCGCTTTGATCCATTTGAAGAAAATACATTCTATTTACAACAAAGCAATATTTATTTTGTATAATACGAATAAATAGTTCTTTTTTAAATCTAACTATTTATAGAAGTACGTTACAATATATTGTAGTTTATGCAATGATTTTCATTGCAACAAAGAAACTAAGTCGAATAGCTATTGGAATACTAGATTTTAAAATGATTTGCCCCAAAGACTTTTGTTTAATATCGGAATTATACACGTGCACCCCAATTGCGCACAATTTTCTTGTCTGTCTAATTAAAATTTTCCAATAATCGATTTTTTAAAAAATTGAAAATTGCAAAGTATGTAAAAAGTCAATTTACGTAAGTATAGCATCATCGAAAACGACATCCGAGCTCGTTTATCTTGAGGACTTTTTAGCTATTACGGAGACTAATTGAAAAGTTTGTCGTCAAAACTACGGACGATTGACTCACAAATAGAACAACACCATTGTGAATCTTAACCAATTTGAAGAACTTTGCGTCGCGCTAAAAATTTATCTTTCTATTCACTTGACGATTAGTCTCAAACTCACAGCGATTCACAATCATCAAAATTATTGTAAATTTGTAGAACTATAAGTTCTCAAGAATAAGACTGATTCTCTTTAATTACTAATGACTTTCATTTGTGACGAATAAAATGATCTAAAGTTTCGTTCACTACATTACATTGGAATTAAAATTTGCATTATATCTTTTTGGAACCATTTTTTATCATATATATAATATTTAAATATGAAGAGGCAATGTAGGACATACAAGAGTGTTTTGTTTAAAAAATTCTAGATACTTGGAGATTTGTACATTACTTTCTTATTTTTTTTTTGTAGCGTAATGTTAGTGTCTTTGATATTTTCCATAATGAAAGCGATTAGGTTAAATAATTCGCTTTGGTGGGATCGACATACAGAATCCTGTTGCGACACATAATGTTTGCATAAAACGTAAACTTAATAAAATTATCGAATTGCATAACCAGTGTTTCCAATTGATTACGATTGCTATGAGTATTTTAATGAAACAGACACTGATCGCGTGCTTCAAGCAATAAAATTTTATATCAGTTGAGTTATACAGAAATGGTAGATTGAACTCACGTTATCTCGCGAATTTTGCATGATTACTCAAACAGAAGCCAACTTATCGACGTGACATTACTTTAATGAGACTTTAATGTAATTTTATCAATTTTTGCGTGAAAATCACAGAAAGTCAGTAAAAAAATAACGCTTCCGTGAATTGATAGCCTTTCTCTCTTTGGTACAAAATGGTACAATTTATCCATATCATTACATTTCAATTATCCATAACAATTATCCACAAACTTCTTTGATAATAATTACAGTTTATCAGGAAATAATTAACAGTGTAAAACTATTTTATACTAGAATATCCTGTTACAAGTATAGATAGAACCTAGTAATTTAATCTATTATTCATTATCGTCAACGTTGATGTATAAGGTATTTTTATCTTCTATCTCATATCTCGTTGCGGTATAATTTATTGATGCTTCGTGCTTATATACGTGTATAACACTTTGGGGGGGCCAATATGGGACAGACAATTTTAGGGAGTGGTTATTAACTTTTTCGTAGTTCTGTCAAGCTGTCTTTGCGAACAAATTTGGCCAGGTCAACTGATAGAATGGGTGGATTTAGGGAATGATCCGATTTGGTTCCATTTTTCTTGCCTAATTTTAGAATATTGTACGATACATTTTTATATGACGGTATTTGCCGCAATATAGATATTTAGATATATCTGGAAGTCAATACTGTGCTAAATTTAAAAGCAGACTTCTATCTAAAAAGCGATTTTTAGAGCAAATTTTAAGATATTTTTAAAAATAGTTATTGAATATAGGAAATTGAGATTTCGTATACGTATTTATTCACACGTAAATTATATTTAAAAATTTCTGCAAGTGTCTAAATTAATTACTTTTAAAGTTATAAATTGCTATGTACATTCTGTTTTAAAAAACGCTTTTAATATTAAATTGATTAAAAGACCAATTAATTAAAAGCAATCGAATTAAAAGAAATTCTTTACCTAAAGAGATGTACCAATTATAAAAAAAATTTTATTTTAATGTAAAGAAAATAATAGCATCTTAAAAGAAGTTTGAATTTTTCGAAAAACTTGTTTGTTTCTATTTTTTGAAGAAAGAAAAGCTTTGCAAACTTTTATTTAAAGGCTGACATTTTTTTAGCATGCACACATAATAAAATTCGTTCGTGTATTTAATTATTTTTAAGATATACCATTTAAAAAAATGTAATTTTGAGAAAAATGTAAATTAAAATTATAAAAATAAACAAAGACAAATTTATAGTATTTATTATTTATTCTTAGTCTGCTAAAATAAGGCTACAAAAAAGAAGCATTTCTCTTTTTATCTGTTGCTGAACAAATTGTTCAGTTGAAAATCTTAGCTTTTTTCGAACACATTAGATATTTGCTGCACTCTGTCTATAATAGTCGTTTTTAATTGGCTAACGTTTGGACTTTGGGCAGAAAAATTTCCATTACAGGTAGAATTTTCAAGACAATATAAAATTCTTTACTATATATACAAACAATGGAAAAAGGGAAGCGACCTCAACTGTTTAACATTCACAAAGTAATTTGAAGAGAAAAACCAATTAAAACATTCTTTTCGTTGTTTGTGTAAATGTTTAAGAAAACACAATAAATTGTCGAAAGTACATATTCAAAAATTAGTTTTATTATCTCAAAAAATTTTTCATCAAGAAGTGGTAGAATATTCGAAAAATATCCTCAGCTTCTTCTCTTTGCATCGCTCGCATTACTTATGGATACTGGCAAGTACTGGTACATATATGCTGTGGATTTTTATATACGCGAGTACCTCGATGAATTACGCCTGCGTTCGTCTATAACGGTTTATCTACGTTTATATTTCTTGTTTATTATCTCTTCTCGTTGTACATTTCTCACGGTCCACTCAAATCTAAATCCAATTTACACTGTATCTTGCAGAGGGCATTTAGAAAAGTGAATATTTCGAATCGGATCTCTTATCATTCGCCATGAACGCGAAACGCATCGTGGCTTATCATTATGGGGTGATAATGACGATCTCTCAGAAATAGATCAAGATTCAAGATTAAGTATTTGGATGGCTTGCAAACGAAAGCGGAAAAAGCTTGAGATACGACGTACCTGAGGGAACGTATTCGAAAGCCTGTGCCACTGCGCCATTCAACATGGCGTAGCGGCGTGAATTCAAATATCAATGCGCTATAGCGGCTATAGACAAGCATTTTGGACGATAGTAAACAGCCATGCGGTAGCGTGGCCTAAGCGAGAGCTTAGAGCACTAGTCCGATAAATTTCGGCTCCGAATCGGAGCGAAGGTAAATTAAACACCATCAGAAGAACAGCCTTGGCATCCATGGTGGTGAATCCCGGCGATGATCGGGTACAATCAACACAATTCCGGCTACAACAAGCTATTCACTCAGGTACACCGATAAACGCGGTTTTATATCATTTTGTTGTGCAACAAACAAGGAGCAATATTAAGAATGTTCCGTTATTTTTCCATAAGTTAATAAAACGCGTCAGCGATGCAGGACGAGTTTCTATTTGCTACAGTAATTAAAATATCTGGATCAACAAGCAAGATTTGGCACTGGGTTATTTTCTTTTTTTTTATCTGCATTATCTTGATTTTATATTTTTCTTAATGCTATTCTCTTTTCGCTTCCTGGTTTATTATTTCTTTTTCTTTCGATCTCTCTCGCATCTGTCACTTTTCGCAAGGCTGTAATAAATAGAAATATGTTCATGGAATAATAGTGCTTATCTTTTTATTTCCCCTCCCCCATCGAAGGGATAACTGTAATTAAACATAAACCTATCAAGGGACTTCATGTAGTGAGGAAGGTCTTCGTGTAAAAATAACCGATTATCATGACTGTACTTTGAGCAAGGAGGCGCAAGGAGGAGTGTGTTCGATCACGTCAAAGACGCGCCGCTTCCTAGATGTATAGGATATTTCGCAGTATATCGTTTAAGGCTCGTATTAGGCAACGTGGCGTAAAGCAGAAGCGATCATCCGTGCTATCGTTGCGGCGCAGCGATTTACGTCGATTGCGCACTCGATCGAGGTTCACTTTCTTTTTTTAATATGAAATCGAGCTTTTACGGAGTTGATATATGCTCTACTGGCCTTGAAGATACAGTCTTTATCTGTTGTGCATCTTTCTCACATGCGACACATCTTTCAGAAGTGTCTTTCTAGTATTACCAGCGGGATTCTGCAGAGAGGCATCCCTTTCAGACATCGACATTAATTTGTTTTATTGACAGTTGAGAAGAAGTCCGTTTCTATATAATTGTTACTATATTTTATTTGCGTCAATTTTGTTTTTATTACCATTAAGATGTTAATTGATATTTGAAATAGTTCTTAATTTTACGTGAGCTTTATAATACTATCAGTAATTACTTTCTCAATTGTTTTTCTTTCGAGTAGACGATTTAATTGTGTAATGCACAAACTCGGCATGATTGTTTCGACACCTTATTGAATCAATGTTTATTCAATATTGTAGTTCTTACAATTAGATTATACTACAAAAACACTGACGCTATCTTCCCGTTTTTTTCTTTAATGACGGTGGAATAATTGCGAACGTTTTTAGTGAGAACTGTATGAGTTTTTCAATTAGAGAATGTAACAGTATTAAAAATAAAATGGTCAATGTAAACCACTGGGTATTAGGCGTAATCGATATGGTCATTCGAATGTTAAGAATATCAAAAGTATATATGTTCCTTCGTTGCATAAACGTTCCTTCGTCTGTAAAACCTTTGTAAATATATAAATACAGACATGCCTACATAACTATTTCGAGCTTTATACAATCTGCAGAATAAAAATAGACATTTGAGAAAGATAAGCTAAATTTAAATATAATGTTTTAGAAAGGCATTTTTTATTAAGTATAATGTTTTAACTATTATGCTTTTAAAATTTATATTTTCTTTATTTTAATCTATCTTATCGAAGGTCTCTTCTTATTCTTTCATAAATATCAGAAGAATCAAGTTTTTTTTATTTATTCGTCGAGAAGCTTTTTTGGGGAAAGAAGAATCTTATGGAAGCAATTCATTTTTGCTGTATGGTAGAGTTGACTTTGACCAGATTAATCGAACGATTAAACAAAAATGAATATAATTCTATAGGGTTGAGAAATTTTTTGCATATAGGATAAACTCGGATAAGATGGCCATAGAGGAGAGATGGCCAATCCATGTTCTATCAATCTAACTCATCATCTGGTATCGAATGAACATGGGTTGGCCATCTTTCCTCTATAGCCATCTTACCCGAGTTTACCCTATAGACATGGATGTGTAATAAATTTTTCATTGCAATCTTAAATATGATTAAATTGGGAAGTAGAAAAAGAACAAAATAATCTGTGAGTAAAATCTTCCTTTTCTAATCTTATTTTCTTCTACTTGAAGAGCTATATGTTTTAAACGAAAGACAGTCATTAACATTAAACAAAAGTATTAATTTATTACACATACTTGTTGCTGTTTTAGCTCACTGCTATAAAATAATAATTATTGTTAATATAAAAATAATTTCACATAGAAGGAATTAATGTGGAATCATACTTCATATTAAATGAAAAAAAATTATAATAAAAAAATCTTTAAAATGAACATTTTAGAACTCATAAGAATTTACTACATTGAATACATAATCATTTGTAAACATAAGCATTTGACAATCGAGCAACATTTGTAATATTAAATTAATCGAAATAAATTAACAACACCGTTAACTTTCCTCATTAATATGCCGAAGAGTATGCTAGTCTCAATTTATTGCTTATGACCACGAACATTGAGTATGCGTAAGTCTTCCTTCCTATCCTCGATCGATTCATTTAATTTTAACAGGAACTAATTAACTTGCTAGACTGATTTCCTTTGTTACAAGGTAATCTACGTCGATACTTGTAGGGCGTGATAGACGTAATGAACTGCGTCGTGGGGCATTTTATCATTCACGGTCTCGCGGACAAAGTCACAGTTAACGTCATACGCAGAGTAAATAAATGCTGTTTAAATATGCTATTTTCAAGGACTGGAAAAGGAAGATTTTACTCAAAGATTATTTTGTTCTTTTATTTCTCAATTTAATCTTATTTAAGATTGCTATGATTTATTACACATCCATGTCCATATGTCATATCCAAAAAAATTTCTTAATTCTATAGAATTATATTAATTTTTGGTTAATCGTTTGATTAATCTGGCCACAGTCAGCTACCAGCAATAATGAATTTTCAAGGGATAAGATTTTTTTTTAATATTTGGTTTGAAAGACTAACACGAAAGGTAATACTTGTATAGATGATGCCTTTTAATATGTTAATATTAAAACTTTTTTAAAGAATTTTACAAAACTTTACTGTGTGCGATGTTATTAAACCAAGATTTTAATTACGAACTATTACAGTTATTGAACAATATTTATATGGAATGATTAACTGAAAGATTATGTCATTTGCTTCAAAATATTATATATTCTACAATAGAGAGACAAATTGATATTTAAAATTGACACTTCTACTTAAAAACAATTTAAAATTATCGGAAGTTTAAATGAAAAACTTCCGAGATTTTATATCAAAAGTTAGAAGAGGGTTTATCGAAAGTTACTAAAGAGTTTAAAGCAACACCTAAGACTAAGAATTATTGCATCACCTAAGATTAAAAATTATTGCAAAAGTTTATTAATTTACCACAAATGTCGGGACGATCACGATAACTTTGGCCCCTTGAAATGTAAGTAGTTTTTGAAGGCATTTTTCACAGAGAAAAAATAGTAGGTAAGAAAATTCTGTAATCTATATTTGTTCCCTATTTCGATAAATTTTAATTTCAAGTTTTTAGAAATAAGCTTGGAGTTAATTTTTTTATGCGGGGGAAGATCTCTCCCTCGTCTACATGTGTACTTTCAAGTAAAAGAAAATTGAACGTTCGTGTGGAAAGTTGAAGAATATTTTTATCTTAAAAGTGATATTATTATTATCTATTGGTCGGAAATTTTTTTTACTATTTTTTCCGTGTTTCTCGCCAAAAATGCCTCCAAAAATCACTAACATTTCAAGGGGCCAAAGTTATCGTAAATCGTGCCTAAAAATATCAAATAGGAAAAATTTAATCAATACTTATGTGTAAGGAAAAATTTGTTTAAACTTTTAAAAACTTCTTTGCCATGTACGGGAATTCCGATCTAATGGATGCCTTGTCTGCTTTTTTTCAGGGCTCGGCGGACTCAAACTATTCGCAGCCGAGCTCGGATCTTTCTCTGGACGAGGAGAAGGAGAGCCTGCGACGCGAGAAGGAGAGGCAGGCCCTCAATCAACTCGAAAAAGCCAGAGTAAGTCATTGATCCTTCGTGCGCTCCAGTTTGCTTTGCTTTTACAGGGGTCCATTCTTATTATTCCGCGCGTGCTGGATCACCGTTTATCGATCGAGTAGTTGTCTCATTATCGCCGTCATATTTCCCCGGCACGTTATACACATCACGAATTTGTACGAGAAACGCGACATAGCTGGACGCGTCTGCAATTTCAAGACCAGAGGCGAAAGAAAAAGAAACCGGACTCGGCGAGGTGCCAATCCGACACTTCGCGGAACACTTCTTCTCGCGCTCGTAGTCCAAGCCATGAAAATAAATCCATGGAAAAATACGATCTATGATCTGTACGAGTACCACGACTCTAACGCGGCAATAATGTGCTTAAATGCGGCAATAATGTCGACGTTCACGTATCGAGAGAGTGTTTTACGAGGAACATGCATGAGGCATTTTTCGAAGTATCGATACATTTCGTGAATTATTTTACTTTATTAGAAATAAACTTTGTTCATAAATTTTTCGCGAATTATATATGCAAGCAGTATTCACTATTCATAAACTTGCTAAAAAAATATTCTTTCAGCTAAAATTTAATTACAAAGTATGATAAGATATTTATAATATAATATATCTCTCTCTTCTCTCTTTCTTTCTCTTTCTCTTTGCCTCTGTCTTTCTCTTGTGTTGCAAGATTGCTTTATACGTTTGAAAAAAATTTGAATAAAAAACTCAATCTGCGAAAATCTTTGCTCATAGTGGATTATATATATAACGATAGAGTGTTATAGGATTGAATAGTAAACGCGGGGGTAAAATTATAAAATAGCACGAACGCGTCAAACGCGAGGATCTGATCGACTCCAGTCTTCTTCGGCTTAACGGATATTGATTGGCGAGAGACGACCTTCGAAGGATAGAGCTCGTCGCAATAAAAATGAAAAGCTCCGCAATACTCTTTTATTTCTTTATTAAAGCGACGATGTTGTCACTAGCAAAATGCGTCCACGCATAAGCCGACAATGTGTCGATCGGCTGTGAAGCACGTCGGCGCGGCGGTGTGTGGCCGGCTTTTATTTTCCATTCCATACACGCGATATAGTTATACGTGTTTATGTACACGTTGCGATATAGGAGCTGCACCGTGACCTGATAGAAAAGTCGATAACACGGGCAAGGGAACGATGATACGTAACTAAGCGCGGTGGTACGAGACGACACCGCGTTTGTCGTCGAGGTTGATGATCATAGTCCGATTTACTTTCCCTGACAAAATAATCATTGTCAGGCTAAGTTATAGAAAGCAAATATTTTTTAAATAACGCTAAAGTTTTGATAAAATTGATTTACTTTAGACGTTAGATATTTTTTACTTATTATATTATAACTTATTATTAATTGATATTTCTAATTTATTATTTTGAATGTCCTTAAACGTTAGGTATTTCTTTATAACGCTATATTGCATGGCTGGATAGAATAGATAGAAGAGATAAAAATTTAAACGGTAGTTTGTAATATGAATCAATATCTGATTGAGAAAATAGGTATGCGCTCGTGCTCATAATTTTTTAATTTACATTTTAGTCGAAGCCGGTAGCATTTGCAGTGCGGACTAACGTGAGCTATGACGGATCCGTCGACGATGACTCACCTGTCCACGGTTCGGCCGTCAGCTTCGACGTCCGTGACTTTCTTCACATCAAGGTATGCGCGAGCACGCGTCCTCTATCTCGTAGATTCCATTCTTGTCGTACAATTGTAAAATTTTCTTCGTTAACTAATCGTTTCGTTTCAGGAGAAGTATGACAACAACTGGTGGATCGGCAGGCTCGTGAAAGAGAATTGCGACGTGGGTTTCATCCCGTCACCTGTGAAGCTGGAGGCCTTAAGGTTACAGGCGAGCGCCGCGCGTGGCACGAAGGGCCTCTACTCGACGCGAGGAGGGTCTTCAGGGAACCTTGGCGAGAGTGGTATGCCCTCACGTGGTTCCACACCACCTACGCCAGGTATCCTAGCACGTCCTTCTTTCTTTCCCCCCCCCCCCCAAAATTCACGGTGTACCCAACTCGGTGTACCCTGAAATCGGGAAACTTTCTCAGCTTTGATCCTCGACAGTGAATTACAGGCGGACGGATCCGTTGCTACAGGCCGGTCGAAACAAAAAATATGACGAATAACACTCGCTTGAGATCCTAAGTATCCCACTATTTGAGACACACGTAAAACACCAGCTTCGAAATGCTTCTATCGCCCCGAAAATTAGATTGAAGCAACTCTTGTGTAATTCGCAAGTGAATAAAACTGCATGCGCACAAATAACAACGTTTAATATTATAAAACATTTAATAAAACATATAGAATTCAACGTTATTGTACTCTATCAGTTTGACATGAAATTAATACTAATATATCAGACTTTTTTTTATTCCTTGCGGTTTACACAGAGATACGAGCTTCTCCATCCTTGCTCTTTCGCGAAAAGAAATTGCTCACTACTGTGCTCTCGCTTCACACGCCCTATTAGTTTTCATTTCATTGCTAAAGTCCATCGGGTAAGTCACCGTATTCGTGCAATTTCATCAACACACATGCCGATTCTTAGTACTGCTGTAGCTAGCTGCTGATATTTGATAGCCGCTGCTATAAGCAGAGACACAAAGCATAAATTAGCAAATTATATCTAGGCTGCATCACATCAGTTGAGTGCTTCTTAATAGCTTCTTTGAGAGAAAGAGGGACTCGTCGATTGTTTGACATATAGATGAGATTCCGAGTAATCTCGAACGTATTCTTTCGACAGGTGACGACAGCGATAGTGTCGGGAACGTGCGACCCGGCAAGGCGACCCTGACGACCCCACCCGCTAAGGAGAAGCGGAAGAACTTCTTCAAGAAGCCGGTAAACGCTCAGCGAGCCACGCTTGCGAATATCCTAACGCGTCACGCACAGCTTATCACTCTTTGAGCTTTTACACTTGGATCGGTAGGCGCCGTACGCCCACTGAACTGGCGTGATGCTCAATGATGTCATGCATAATAATAGATGTCACACACTGAGATGATAAAAAACCGTCTGACAACTTTAGAATTGTTTGCTCCGATATTGATTATTGCCCACGGTTTATTTAATACTCTTCCTTACAATTCAGATAATAGCTGTGTCCAATAGCATGATGCATTTTTCTCACGCTAGTTAGACGTACAGACAATCCTATTAAATGTTTCTATCTAATGTACGACCTTGCGACTCTAGGCTCTGTCCATGTCGAAGCAATTTTTCTAATAGTATTATTTAATATTTTTAAATGAAAATTTTATTAACGAAAACTTTTAAACTAAGTTAGAAATAAAAAATTTTGCTATCGTAGAGAGAGATAATATATCAAGGATTTTGTTGGTGAGTAAGTAAATTTATATGGACATTGTCTAAGATGCTAAAATTTACCAGTCGACTCTAAATAAATTTAAGGTTCTTAGACTAACGATTCTCTTTCCCGCACGGATATAAATAGAATTTATGTCTCTAAATGTGCAATTCTATAATATATAATATTTGTTTGTTTTTTTATAACATGCACTTAGTCCTAAAAATATTATTATAAAATAAAGATTTTAAATGTGATTAATTTTTTTATGATATTTTAGATAAATTATGTGGCATGTCAAAAGTTATATTATAGAAATTATAATTGATAATTCATGGTTTACAAATCATGGTTCACAATTAGGAATTAACGCAGATAGTCTACATTTATATTATTATTAGACAAATTTAAATTTTTTAGAGAAAAATACATAAAATTATCACTTTCTTTACTTTTAAAGAGAATTTTTCTTTTATTGGTTACTTCAATGATTTATTATATCTAAATTATTTCTTCATCAAATTAATAATAAATAATTATTATTATCAAATTATTAGTGGATTAAATAATTTTTTATTAAAATTTCCACAATTCCATAAACAGTTTGCGGAATCTTCGTATTTTACTTGGTACGAAATTTTCTGTAATAAAAGTATCATATTATACTGCTGAATATATCCATAGTTTTAGTGGAAAACGACTGGTAAATACTTTCACTATTTTAACACACTGTTGATCACTTTTTTCACCGTCACGACGCGTACAGTGTCAGACCAGCGATTATTCCTACCCGGGGCCGCGTGTCGCGGCGAAAATCATTCACCGTCATAAAGGTAGAATATAGGCTGAAACGATTAGTCCGTAGGAGGCCGTTAACACCTTAGATATCGTAGTTACTAACGTGCTGCTTGGCCAAAGTACCTTCGGTGCTCGAAGAGGATGTCCCGTGGGCGTTCGCACGTTCAGGGAAGGACTTTGGCCGTGCAGGAGGTCGCATGTGTCAAGTCGACGTGGCCATTAACTGATTTCAATGTTTCAATGTTGCATACCGTGCTCACGCAGTCCTACGTAAGTGAGACTATCCTGGGGCCGATATTAGCGAACGGGGCCTCATCTCGATTGGCTGAACTGATCGTTTGCTTGGATTTTCAGGAGACGACGACTCCTTACGACGTGGTACCTTCCATGAGGCCCGTAGTGCTGGTCGGGCCGTCGCTCAAGGGCTACCAAGTGACGGATATGATGCAGAAGGCGCTCTTCGATTTTCTCAAACATCGCTTCGAAGGCAGGTCTGTCGGGACTGTTTAGATAACGTGTTATTTCTACTCGTGGTCTGACCTTTTTCTATTACTAACGAAGAAAAACGGACAGCTATTAGTCCTAAATAAGCCGACTTTCTTTCTTGTACTAACAAGGAAAAACGGACGTTGCCATTAATTCTTTTTACGTTTGCGCATTTACGTAAGCTGGATCCAGTTTAACCTACAGTGTATCCCTGGTTACAATATGCTATACGCTACGCGCACTAAATATGCCATTACAAGGTTTTAAATACTGAAAAATTAATATTTAAAAGTTATGTGTTTATATTACTAATTTCATCAAGAATTATTTATCATTACAGAATTATTATCACAAGGGTAATGGCGGATATATCGTTAGCGAAGAGATCCTTGCTGAACAATCCAACTAAAAGAGCGATCATGGAACGGTCGACCAGTAGGAGCAGTTGTTTAGCGGAAGTTCAGCAAGAGATCGAGAGGATTTTCGAACTTGCTAGAACTCTTCAGGTTTGTGAAAAGTATTCCAATTTAAAATTTCTAACATTTTTTGAATTTTCTCAATTAAATATCAATTTTATTACTGCAAATAAATTTTCCATGGTAAATAATTTAAATACAACATATTAATTTGTATCGAATAAATTAACCGCACGTCTAATACGCAATTCCAGCTAGTTGTTTTGGATTGCGACACCATAAATCATCCGTCGCAACTGGCGAAGACCAGCTTGGCGCCCACTATCGTTTACTTGAAGATTTCTTCGCCGAAGGTTCTGCAGAGGCTGATCAAAACCCGAGGAAAGTCGCAGATACGTCACCTTAACGTACAAATGGTGGCCGCGGAAAAGTTGGCGCAGTGTCCGCCAGAAATGTTCGATGTCATCCTGGACGAGAATCAATTAGAGGAGGCATGCGAACACGTGGCCGAGTACCTGGAAGCTTACTGGAGGGCGACGCATCCGCCCGACTTTTCTACGGTGCCACGCGCCGTGCCTGCACCCGATGCACCGGCGGACACGTACCCGCAACGTGTGCCATCAGGTATCACGATTATTTTGATAAATCAAAGATCATTAATCACATTTAAAAATGTTTAAAGATTCCTAGATTTGCAGATCTTTATATTCCCAATTCTGAGTATAAGACAATAAGCTTTAAATTAATTTACGGATAGATCTGCGTCGCAAGTATTATATTTTCATGTCGAGGAAATTATGTCAAATAGTCAAATGCAGAGAATTCCAAATCGGTCAAGGACGTTTTCGTCTCGCACGAACAATAATGGAATTCGGGACAATAGAAAGATTTTAAATAGAGCACGGATAGAATATCAGTACTCGGGAGCCAATATTTCGACCATTCGGTAATGGTTTTGTGGAAAGCGTCCAAAATCGTTGAGAGATGCAGGAGGCGATGTAAATCTGATGATGATTTACGACGATCTATCGCTTTTAGCAATGGCATCGCTGTATATGACGCAAATCGATGCGTAATACATCGATTGACGTCTTCAGCGTTGTCGAACCAGAAATCAAACTCATCCGCGAACATATTTGGCAATGCTTAAAGCTAACTACAGAGATCGAAATATTGGCTTCGAGAACATTGTCGTATCGTTCAGGGTATCTCGGGAAAATGATTTTGAGAGACGTTATTAACACGCATTTGAATATCTCGTAATATTTAATATGACATAACCCGTCCATATGTTTCACGTACCTCGAGATGCCCTTTTTCAATATCCTGATGATCCTCGCTCGCGCTTTCTAGCCCCCTCAAAGATCTAACGAGACCCAGTTTTGCCACTAACTTTCTTCTTGTCCTCTCAGGTGCCCCTCATGAGCCTTACTATCATCGAAGAGGTAACCCAATATTTTCCTTGAGCATATTTTTGCACTCTCGTATTCCTTATTTTTACCTTCATTCAGCATATATAGTTTGCTAACTGCACGTCGACGTCGCATGAAATCGTTTTAGAAAATAGAATTTCCCTCGAAGATTCGCTAGAAACAAATAGACTATTATGAGATTTATATGTTGTATTATTGATATTATGCACATTTAAGAATTTCTATTTTATTATAGCATGGTATTGAACTTTAACGATAGAGCAATTTTGCATATGATTTATATGTATACCAACGAACCAAAACGTTCTATTTTCTAATAATACTATAATTATAATTTTCAAAAAATATATATTTTTATTGACATTATTTTTATATAATATAATTTTTTTCTTAATTACATGAGATTTATATTTATTCATTATAATGTAATTTAAATGTCAGTCACTTGCACATTCTCTGCATAGATAATTATAATTATGTATAATTTTGTTAAACACGTGCATTACATACATACTTTGATGTTACTTATAATTTTATTATATACTTATACTATAATTAGATGATCTTTATAAAGATCTATGGTATGTCTATCAATTAGGATATGATGTAGCAGCCTTTTAACTTCGCATTCTATTCCACTTATCCGCCGAAGAGACAATGCTACTGACTAAAATTGTCTCTGCATTTTTCGCATAATCGTTTATCATCAAATCAATATCACCTTATCCTGACGTTATATTTCTTTTCAGCGGCAATGTACGGATCGAACGTACGGGTCGATATGAACTTGTACCCAATGCAGTAAGACCGAGGCGCGTTTATCTCTTCCGTTAGTGCGGATAAAATTCTACGTTTCGTTTTTATTTGTGTAATCGCTTCCCCAACTTTTTTCGTACAGTCAGCAGAAATTTTCCTTCTTCATACTTGGTATATTTAATCATTAAACACGCTTACATTATTTAATTGCAACTTACCTCGTGCACACTGCGCTATCATCGATCACGAGTGTGGATTTCTTTTATTAAAATTAATTTTAATTAAAATATTTAAAGAGAAAGAGAGAAAATACGAATATTTAGATAATTACTCAATATTTTAAAATGTTTTATTCCTTAAATATATAAATAGAGAAGTCTGTAAGCGTAGATTTTTTAATGTTCGAAGAAAAAGTTTTAATGTTTGTTCTGAAATAGATATGATGGAATCTACTGATTTTTTCAAGTATCAAATATTTACAGTTGTTTATTTTTTATTGGATTTTACGCAAATCAAGAGTGTCCGAAAGAAATTTTTAAAATCCACGTGTGTTTTCAAACTCTGCCAAATTAATGCCAAAGCTATTATGTGATCGCGCGAGACAAAAAGCCATTGGGAGCAATACCTGATTATTTCTTTTTTATTTATTTTGTTCACAAACACCTATCGTCATCAATCTCTAAACTCATTACGCCGCAATGCGGTCCGATTCGACGGGCAAAAAAAAGTTTTAGCCACGAAAGTGCCGCGAGGGCACACACCAGATTATCGGCTTTGTTCTCATCAGCAACGAGCTCTGACTCCGATGTTCTCTTTGTTTACGTGTAAAAGTGGAGGCGGTGGCTGCCACGGGAGTCATCCGAAAACACGACGACTAGCGACTTGGTCGCGGTGACCAAGAGACCAAGACGAAACAATTGTGTTAAGAAGACCCGAGCGCGGGACATGCCTGTCATTGTGCGGCCGTTTCTACTTCCTGCTTCATCGCGGATGCGATTTTATGCGGCATAAACCGGCCACAAATTGTACACTTCGTAATCCACACACGCACCGTGAATATTTAATTTCGGGTGTGGATGCGATTGAAAGAATTAGAGAGAGACTGTGTAATAGGGATACCTTTGTAAGGGCGCGTAGTAAGTACAGATGGGTTTGGTGCATGGGCCCGGAAACACGGAACCGACCCGATTTTATTTCTCTCGAGTAGAGAAAATGATTTATGTTTCCCTATTATTTATACTCTTTTTTATGCAGTGAAGTAACTACAGGCTCGCCATAGAGAGCAATCAAAGACTTTTTAAAACGTAAGACTTTAACGTGAATTATAATTCAAGTCTTATTTTGTATCAGTTTTACTTAAAGTTTATTGTCAAACGCATTATGACCTAAATTCGAAACTGTGACAAATTTTAATTGTTTAATATTTTTTCAATTTTACTATATATTTAGTTATAAATTATAATTACATGTTTTTGCGTATTATAATTACGAATAATTTGATTTACATTTGCGATATAAAACCTTCTATAATATTTCAATTATTAATCTTAAACATTATTATTGTCATAAAAGTTATTTGATTGCTATTGAATTAGCGCAATTACGCCACTTTTATCCACTTCATTTTTTTGCTCCTATTCCAATGGAATTTTATTTTAGCTAAACTTCTGGCCACGACATGTTTTCCTCTTACAATTAGTTGCAAGTTATTCAATGTTTCTTTTTTTTAAATTAATATTCTATATTATTATTTATAACAAATACAAGTTTGTTACAAACCATTAATAAAATTTTAATTTAACAAACTGCAAATTTCCTATATTTTATTAATATAGAAAATTAATGTAGAAAATTAAAATTATTATTTATAGCAGGCACAAGTTTGTTACAAACAATTAATGAACAAAGTTTATAAACTGCTTCTTATATTTTATTAATATTATTTAATTTTAAGTCTATTTTACTCTTTAGATTATAGAAAATCTGATTCCGACGTATCTAAGCTTTTTTATATAAATAACTGATATCTCCATTAATATTTCTTTATTTACGTCAAAATTTTTAATTTGTCACGATTAGAAGTTTAGCCTATATATTTGTTTTATTTCATATGTTTCGCAAGCCCTTCACCAACCCCTCTCACATAGAATAGGACTATAGAATAGAGATGATCTAACGTTAGCGAGAGAGATTAACGACGTAGCAGCGTAAGTCGAGAGGACAGAAGTTATAAAGGGTTTCTTTAGCTTCGTCGTGGATCGTACACGATCTATATCGTTTCGCGTAATTTATGTCCGAGATTGCATCAATGTGTCGATGACTACACGAGTACATTCTTCTACTTCTCGATTTCTGCGCACCTGCGCAACGATAGTTCGAACGTCGGAGTCTTTGCGCCGTACCTCCTTTTTTTATTTAGTATTTTTTTTTGCTTAGAGCTTGTGTATGGATTAAATAGCATGAGATGTTGGAATGATGTGGCTGGAATGATCTAATTCATCTCCCTATTGCTCACAACAATAATCATCCAGGACCCAAGTGACGTTCGTTTTTTCGTAGGGTAGAGTTTGAGTGATGTTACATATAGATATAGTTTCTTTGCGGTGGAATTTGTACTTGTCATTTTACAATCGATAATTTCTTAATACAAAAAATGCTACTTTAGTAAAAAAAAAAAATTTAGAATAAAAATAAAAAATTCGTAATTATACATAAATACACAATTCAGTTTTATATTGCTATAGTATTTCAGTAACGCACATAAATATTTATGGTGGATTTGATTTGTCTTTTTAACTTAAGACCCACATCAGCGATGGGTTACATCACTTCTCAATCATTATTATTGAAATAAAATCATTGGCTTTATTCTTTAAGAAAACAATAAAAATATAAAGTTTGCGAAAATTACAAACTCGCTTCAGCAAGACGTGTGGATATATCCCTTTGTAAACTGAAATCTAATCTCTCTTTGTCTTTAATCCAGGTGCCAGAGATGAAGTAACGAGAAGATCGCGGCTGGAACGGATGGATCGCGATCGAAGCGATCGCATGGATCACGACTACGGCGAGGAGGAACACGGCGTCGATTACGGTAGTGCCTCGAGACGTCGCCAGCAGCAGGACTCGCGTGCTCTTAATGCTATTTAGGAGCTGGGGCCCCGGGGCCTGTCGCTTCAGCGCTGTCCCCACCTGCGCACCACCGCCCTTTAGCGGGCTCGCCTCCCGGTAACGCTACCGAACGCTAGGAAGTGCGCAACGCTACCTCGCGATAAGATCGCTGCGCTCTGTTAGTGGGGCTGTTTCCTGTCGCGCTACTCTATATGCTAAGAAAAACAAGAAGAATACAGAAATCCAGATCGGCTGACAGCACACGCCACCAACGAATCTGAAAAAAAAAAGATGCTACCATATATATCGATTCTATCCGACGCACCTCGACGATCTCGAAACCGTCGACGATTCATCTCCGCGTACCTATTCCACCAAGGAACCTCGCTATCGAATACGCTACCTGTCGCCAGCAGCGTGCACGTTAGTCCCGCAAAACGTTTTGTGCTTGCATTTTTTTTATCGCGCTACCCGCGAGGAAAAGTACAAATTAATACGCGAGATTTTATTGCTGTTTAATTAGAGAACAGGATTCAATTGCAACATAACTGCTGGAAAATTCTTCGGCATGCTCTAAACATGCATCCTTATCTTCCGAAAGCTCTTGCATCTGTAATAATACACCACTATATTATAACGCTGTTATTATTCCTTTTTACTCTACTGGATATACTTCAATAACATTCGCGGTCAACTTAATTGTATACTTATACTTTATTAATAATGAATCAACAAAGACGTTTTGATCATAAAACATTTAAATCTCTTTTTTACTTCTTCTCTTCTTCTTCTCCTGATATGCTACTGATCACCAGTAGCGTACACATATGGTTGTCAAGATATCTTTATTCCGCCAAATCTAAATCGCTTTATCGTCGGACTGCAAAGAATCGAAAACAGAAGCGCTGTTCCTGAGTATTGCTGAATGAATTTCATTAGCACATTACAAATTTCGCAATTTTTGCACACATTGTCTATATATAAAAACATATCTTCATCTTCGTACATTACGTCTTCGACAATTAATGCCCCGATTAATATCACGAACGCGTACCACTCTGGCGATGTCATCCACAATTGCAGAATTATGCTACTTATTGATCATATACCAACTACCAAACTATTCTCACGCACAAATACCATCGAGATGTACTATCTGATGACGTATATGCTTAAGAGCTCTGCTGTGTTATGTAGAGGGAACATGTCAACCCCCACCCATCCCCGCTCATTACAACGATTAAGCGTAATCTATGCCAAACGTATCGAATGCTCACCATAATTGCTGGCCACGACAAAATGCACGCATCGTTTCGAGATGCACGTTACATGACATCTTTTATGCTACTTTATACGAAAAGAAGATAATGTTGTGAGATCATACTGTAAATGAAAATATACACACTTGACTGCATTCGGTACTCCTCGTTAAATACGCTACTCAAAGTCGTTCATGTATTCAATCAAATAGACGCTATGCATTTTTCACGCGAAGTATTGCAAAACTTACTCTCGAACCTTTTTCGAAAGTTTCACATATAATTAAGAAGAAATAACTTGAAACATATTATCTGAACAATTTCAATCTCATTTTCATAATCTAAAATTCTTAACCGAATCAGATTGAAATAAATTCCAATCAATTATTATTAATCAAAAATCTTCATACTCATGTATATACACACATTCTACACATTTATATCTTCAACGGACTCTGTTTATGAATGCGAATTATTTGCCAAACTAAAATTATATTGCGATAAGAATGGAGTTCTTTTAATATTTACGTGCGATTTTCCAATTAGCGAATTTTTATCGCGAATGCGATAATTATAAGGGTTCGAGCGTAGTTAAACGATCGTTTGAACAAACGATTATTCCAACAAGAGTTTTAAGCCGATTCGAAATAATCTTCCGGTGTCCTTGTCCATCGCAGTATAACGCAGGACAAATTCTCCATTCGCGGAATCAGCTCAACGACACTAGTAGACGCGCGAGACAATCGCGTGGGACGAGGAGACCAAGATAGAAAGTGCACTCGAAACAGAGTGAAGAGAGCCCTGGGGCCTTAATCCCTGCACCGACTCCTCTCGGGCCCCAAAACCCATATGTCTTTATGTCGAATCGGCGATCGGCGATCGACGCGGTATCTAGTATTTCTTATGATCAAGAATAATGATATCTCTATGAAACAGAGATTTGATTTCTCTCATAGAATTTAATTATAGGAAATGATAATGACCATTATAACTTCAATTTAAAAAAATTAATTGTCTAGAGGAATGACCTATGATCGGTTGGCCAACTAATTTTATTAATAGCTAAATTAGCTGATAATCAAGACAAAAGAGAGCTTTAATAAAATTTCGCAGCTGATCATACATAGATATTTTAATTCGATCGTCGACCGTGATAGCCAATGTAGTCGTCGTAATTTTACAGTCGCTGAGGAGCGATTCGCAATGAACACAGCTCGGCAATCTCGAATTTGATCGTAGAAATTGAAACCCGTCGTCCGATCGCGACGTCGGACGTAGCTGAAGCGATTTTAAGCGATCGACGTTAGTGATACTTGCCACCAATCACGTAATTAAATTAGACAAACTAATGTAGAAACGAGACGTTTTTGATTTACGAGACGACAATGTGGTTCGAGATTAGAAGATATTGATACGCTGAATCCTATGAAAGTTTTCGATTTTGGTCAAGCGCGTCAACGACCTAACACGCCGTTCTATGATGCGTTTATACGTTTTGTTGAAGCTCTTATGCAAAAGTATAACGTGATATGCACGTATATTGCACGTGAAAGAAAACGTTTTGTGTACATAATATACATATATACATATAAATTATAAATTGTACACACAAGTGACTATTCCATCTATATCACTCGACAAATTTTAATTGAGATAAAGAGAAGATTAAATAAGATTTCAGCGGAGATGTGAATAAAAACACTTGGCTTTTCTATGGATAATTATAGACTGAAATTATAAATATAATTTATAATATAGTATAATTATATTCTTTTTAATACATACGTTATATAACTCTCTCGCTCACTTATTATCGGTTTGATATACACTATTTATTAATTCGCGAAATGTTTACTTTTTAAACATTTAGTTGAGGCAATTCTAAAAATCTAAATTATTCTTTCATGTGAATAAATATCACATATTTTTATTCACATTTCGCACCAACGACGTTATGTAAATACTGTAAGAAAAGCCTTTAATGAGTGCCGTTCAAGTTTTCACTCGTACAGCATCGATACGCTGTGAATCGGCATTTAGCTAAAAAAATGCTGGTAATTAAATTATTAATTTGTTTTTACGTTAAAAGTATATAATGAAGAATATTTATTGCGTTACGGGAAATTCCTAATACATGACATTGCTCATCACGGATATCTTGTCGATTCCAATGCGTGGAGCGATCTGTGACCGACTGTGGTGAAAAATAGAAAAAGATCCAATCGTATCGATCCATGTTGCAAGCACACACGCGAAACATTTTCCAGTTTAGGATGATACAATTATCCTGTATTTTCGAAGATAACATAAAAATAACTTGACGCAAATGAAACGTACGAACATCTTAAAACGTTCTCGCAGCCAAAATAGCTCGGAATAGATCACGGCCATCGGCATGAGATATTATTTAGGATAATTAATCGGGAACTTTTCCTATATATTATACGCGGTGGTGCGTGCAAATACCGCACTTTTGATTAGCGGTATCCTACATTGTGTACGTTGCTGTATAAATTAGCATAAACTAAGCACGGGTAATCTTGAATTGGTTTTTAATATTGGTTTTTCGAAGAGAATCGAGTAACGATATATTAGCTGTTCTTTCCTTGTGCGAAGAGAAACTTAGCGGAAGTATGCGATCAGTCGTATAATGTCAAAAGATTACTTATGTACGCTTGTTTTATTCTAGTCGCCACTCAATTCAAAGGGCGAAAGTACATTTGACACGTTTTTTGCGATTGATTAATGAAAATGTAAAATTGTGATGAATATCACACAGATTTTTTGTTTGTTTGGTTGTTTGCTATTTAAAAGTTAGATTGATACGTATATAATCGGCAAAGAATGTTTGAAAATTGGCTTTTATGGTTTAATGATAATATATAACATACCTTTAATTGGTATCAATTCCCTACTTTTTTTTTACCTTGCAAATAAAATTTTTTAAAAAGAAGTATAATAAAAACTTTTTTAAATTTTTCATATAAATTTGATAAAAACTTATTCTTGTTAAAGAGGGAAGAAGAGTGAAAGAGTAACCCGTGATTGAACTATTTAGGAGATTATTTTGCAAATTATTAATACACAAAATTTAATTTTGTCGAGATATTGTATTACATAACATCTTGTTGCAGTCGATGATTGGTACCAATTAAGAACACGTCTATTAGAGGAAACGCATCGCGAAATACATGATTGATTTGCGTACGCTACGATCATGTGCTATGTTCGTTTGTCTTTTTTAATACTTAATTCTTAGATAAGTACGTATTTATACGGATATCCGTCTCTCTGAAGCATCTCGAAGCTTCGCATGAGATTTGGTGCCGACGCGAATTATCGCGCCAATATCGCTTATCAGTGTTGAGGATGTAAATTTTATCTTAGGGAGGAAAATTTTGTAAAAAAGAGTTATAGATATAAATATCTAACGTCGCGCGTTTGAATAAGAAAGTCGAGAGCAGCGGAAGTACCGATTCTTTAATTTAAATCGAAATAAAAAAATCATCGCTGAATCTTCTCGATGTGAAATTTTCGTAACGCATTTCGACGCTATATTTCGAAACGAATTCGAACGCAATACATTTCGAGACGATTAACCACAAAGATCCTTTCGCAGCCCAGATTTGTACATATTAGGTAAAAATACATTTCGTCATGATCGCTGTGAATCTATATGAAAAATTCACGCTGTTTTTTGCTTCCGTACGACAAGTTCATTTCCCATGTCGAATGAGACCATCCCGAGGAAATGCGAATATATACGAGTATTCTCGGTGTAAAGAAATCCGCTTGATTGAAAAATGTGCGGGAGTGCTTATAAGCAGGAGTGGTTTAATGAGCAAGGAAATTTTCAAATATTTGCATTTGTTCCCGAATGAAACATATGTTATTAATATGATATTAATATACAATATATTTATTATTAAAAATTGGCGAATGTAATTTTAATAATCTACTTTAGCATATTTTTATTTTCTATTCTTTCACTGTTACATGGATTTGTAAATTGTTATAAAGTATGATTTTGTAGGGGATAAATTTAAAGCATATTGGCTAGAATATTTTTGACATTCTTTATAAGAACTTAATATTTTGTGCGTAGAGCTAATTTGTATATTATAGTAAAATTTTGTAAAGCGGTTTTCTGCAGATCGAGAATATCGCTCGATTGGTTGATTGGTTCTGCTTGTTTGTGGACCACGGGTCCGAGCAAAGCCGTGAACTATAGTTATATAATTGTGCAAGGTGTAATATCTTATAGATATTTTTTAATTGTCAAGATGGAAATTTTTATAATATTTTGTAACTCCTCAGGATATATATAAGCAGCGATGAAAATTGCACACCATGAATATATTGACTCATATACGTACACACATACGCATCTACATATACGGAAACGTTCCTCTAGAGGAAAGTGAATCTGCGGCGAAAATATTTCATTTGAGTTTAAGACTTAGCGGCTTCGATTCATCCGTTACTTTCCGCATCGTTAATAATATTTCATCTGTGTAGCGCTCAAGTAGCGCCGAGAATTCAGTATGTAGCTTGATGGAAGCGATCCTAAAAATACATCCTTCGATCACAAGTGCTTAGATCGACGCTCGTAGTTTCCGCGTGTAACTACGCGATTGACTCAGACCTCGTTGGAACGAAAAGTCGCGTCGTCGAATTTTGAAACGAACATAATTCTTCATAGATTAATATTAATAAAATTGTTTAATTGTTACCTCTGTGAAATTATATTTATATGTAAAATAAATTTCGAATATCTTTTATTTTGCGATATCTGTGGAATCGAATAGTAACATTTTAGATTAATTTATCGCATCACGAAAGCATCGTGCGCACAAATTATCCAAAGAGAATGTAATCTTACTATTTTTTTTAACTAATTCTTTCTCGAGATTCGGCGACTCGATCGAATGACTTGTACAGAATGCATTTACGTATAGAGAGAGCCCCGTCGTCTAGGCATTATGTTAGATAAGAAGCTTTGACTAATCGAGGGATGATCATATAGGCGAGGCGAAACACTGAAAGTCGAATTGGGAACATACGAATTTTTTCTGAAGACTAAAATGATTCTACGAGTATCGACGTTAGGTGAAAGAGACGAAGGCTGGAAATACGATGAATCGGATGAATCTTCGATGTAGTACTTGTTGTACGAATTGTGCGCGTGTAGGGCGCGAACTGACCTGATAATTGCGTGGGATTTGGTTCGTTGGCTCGCACTGTGTGCATGTACGAATAATTATTTGCTTAGTTAGCTGATTACGGCATTCGTGTTATCGACGGGTGCTCCCTAGTCGCTCTCACGCGATCGATGCGCGTCCGCTCGCAAAGTTATGGATCCAGATATTTATTTGTTGAAAAGGAAAAGGAGAGTTTAACGGTTGATTGATGCTGTTTGATTGTATCGATAATTAAAACGACGATTGCTTGTAAACGACTAAGTATTTTGTCGCACCGTGTGCACGCGGATTTGTAAGACGATGGGGGAGGAAGAGATCACTTTCTAGCTTCGAATACGATCAGATCGGTAATCTCGAAGCTATTCGCGGATCTACGTTTGACTTTATACAACGTGCGCAGGGATGTAAAATTTTAAACGGATTCATCGTGGCGGAGTCGTCGACGACGGTCACTTGGATTGTCGTAACGATGGATTGCGGGAACGATCGAGAGACCTCTTCGGGACGACGAGTAATTTCCGTTGATATAGATTACGCGCTAGGATAGCTCTTGAATGCTAATTATTTGATTAATATCTATGGCGCGTATTTGTAGAGTAATTCTAGTCGCAATCGCAATTAGCGGTGAGTAAAATAAGAATTCCATTATACGCGACTGCAGATTTTTTAAATATGTTTTAAGATAGGACGACTTGTAATTGTTGCGGTAAACATTGTGGATTTTTATTGGTCACTTTGTAGCTTGTAATGCTGCTAATGCGCCGAGTCGTCGACGACGATTTCCCTCGTTCGTCCCATCGACGTGTTCACTGAATGTAATCCCATATGGTTGGAAGGTCCAAATGAGGATTGAGCACAGGCCTTAGGTGCCCTCGCGGTTGAAGACGACGCGAGGGTGACATTCGGCCAATGCAAATCCCCTCAGTATGCTTAAAATACTGCGAAAAATGCCTGTCCTTGTATCGAGGCTTACGGCGTAATATTGTTGACGGTATAATGTGGTTTCGAAAGTATATCTATATAGCGAAAAGAGGAAATGCGGTGTAAGACTGCTACGGCGTTACGTATCGGCCCGAGTCGACGTGTTTTTGACTCTTAAATAAGTATAAATTAAGATAAATTTTATTAAAGTCAATGATAATTCAAAATCGTCTAATTAACATATTGCGAAAAATATTCTACGTTTAGATATCATTAATTTGTAACACCTTCTATGAATACGTAAATATGCAGCTTTTATAGCTTTTTTGTAAATCTGCGTCTTTGATTAGTAGTCGTTTAAAACAGAAAGTGGTTTCTAAATAAATATTAGTAGCTTGTATTATTATAGCTTCCTCAAAGATACTAGTAATGTATTGTTGAAGAGTCGAAACTTATCGCGCATGTATCGCGAGAGACGAGCGTCAATTCGGGCCGACTAACGTTTGTACGAGGATTAGATGCAATTCTGTCGCGTGTGTAGGAATCGTGTCAAAGGAATGATAAACTTCGTGCACGCGCGAGCGTCCTCGATAATTCCCTTTCGTGGCTGGTTCGTCGGATCAAAGATTTTTCTCTGTATATTATCTATATTATTGTCACACAAATGCGCGATCAGTGCCGCCCACTGATAAATACGCAGATGTTTCAGCACGTGGCAGAATGCTCCACGTGATCCACCCCGCGATCCATCCGTTTTCCTTGAGAAAGAGAACTTTATTTCACTATATTGTTGCACCGATAATGAAGAAAGCGAGAGAGAGAAAGAGAGAGAGAGAATGAGAGAGAGAGAAAAAGAGAGATAAAATATTTGTAAGCTGCGTTGGATTGTGTCAATCACATTAATATTATTCGATTGTACATCTAATTGTAATGATCGCAAGATGGATGCAAAGTGGATCAAGAAAAGAAGAGAGAGCGAGAGAATATATGCATGCGTGCGTGAGCGAGCGAACGAGCAAATGAGAGAATTATGGCTTGCGTATAATGCGTGCAGTTGTTCGAAGACGGAATTGAGACGTCTAATTAACGAGATATTGTAAATTGTTCTATAGCAAATGAAAAAATGCGCTACGGCCGTTGCAACGCGCTCCTCGAGAGTCCCCGAGTAAATGCGGACGACATCTTTCTTCCAACTGAAATATCGAACTGTTAAGATCCCGTGAGCCTGTTTCGGTGACTTTCGAGGGACGCGCTGCTCTGATCGTTTCGATGTTGATATGTCAATGCTGTGATGTTATCCTTTGAAATTAAACAAGAAAGGAGTATATTTCCAGCCCCCTGACACGCCCCACCTACTTACCGATCCCTGTCCCCCTTTATTCCCAAAAAGATCCTGCAACAGGACTGCAAAGACCTTGAGATACCAAATATTTCTATTATTGTAATTCCGCATAGTCCTTAAAATAGCTAGATTTTAATCGTATTTAATGTAAAGATTATTATTGTTATATCTCAGTGATTCTTTCCTTCGCCAGTGATGTCTCGGAGAGACGAAAAGCGAAAATATAAGGACGATGAGGAACACGCGAGGAAGTACATTTTATAATGTCGTCATAGCGGACGGCCGATCGATTCTCTCCCGCATGTCACTGGTACCCGAATTCCTACATTTGTCGCATTTGTAAATAAAAATTTTTATCATCACATGACACCGAAACGCGTTGTATTCTCCCCTAAACTAGATCATCCCTCATAAATCGAAAAGTATTTTGATGAAACAATGTAGTTGAATACGCGCGAAAAATAATGGAAAGAATATATTTACTGTAACAACAGATAAAAGCTTTCATTATAGAGATGGAAAATAGAATAATTGTATCATGTATTATAATTAGAGTGCTAAAGCTTATGAGATTTCATTGTGAGCCTTTCTAATTGTTATTTGCGTAGAATTATTGTGCGCAGTTGTTAATCTAGTTTTTATTTTATTTTATTTATATTATTATAGAAATAAGATTTCAGATCAGTAAAATGGCTCACTGTGAAATTTCATAAACCTATATACTCTATTTACAATCGTATACTTAGGCGAAATAAAAACATAGAGACTGACTTAGGACACATGAATCATTATTCGATATTCTCTCCTATAAAATATAAACGGACAATACAAAAAGATATTTACACTCTACGTAGGTACATTAATTCGACACATAAGTATGACGCGAAATCATGTTCCATCGACACACATCGTTACGCTGACGATATACACATCAAAGACTCCTGTAGATAAATGCACATTCGGCTGCCGTATTCGACACACGCGCGTGTTAGTCTATACTTTTATATACGTATCGTATCGAGAAGCTCTTTGGTAATAAAATATTAAACGCACAGCAGTGAAAAAATATAGCTTGATTTTCATTTCCTCCGTATGGGAACAAGGAAGTCGTGTGAATCACCATTATCGCGAAGTAACTTCTGAAATATTTCGAGCAGTTTCATATGTCGATTCAATGCGATAAGATTGTTTGCCTTTGCGATAGCGAAAGAAATACGTTTACAATCGTAACCATGGATACCAACTCGCCTGACGTACTGTAAATTACATTTCTGTAATCACAAGCGATTGCAAGAAGAACGATAAGTATATTACGTACGTTATTGAAAGCGGTTATTACCATTTCTCGCGGTAATTCTAATCAACGCGATAACGGCGAGTGTTACTTAAATATTTTCCGCCTGTAGCGCTTACATATAAGAGATATACGTCCGGCATCCTGCTTCTAGCTGGATTGCACGAAATTTTGGATAGATGAAAATGTTAATAATTTAAAACCTTTTTTAAATGAGCTTAACTAAATGCCTTTTACATATTTTTTTACATTACATAAATAAATAATAATATTTCTGTTCTAATTAATCGTTTCTTGCGCATCTAAAATTGCTCCACGCAAGCGAATATTATTTTCGAACTGTATATGCAATCACGTTCTTATTGAAATTATCTATCGACTAATTTTATAGAAAATATAAAACAATTTATTATCAAGGTATCGACTGGATATTTCTTTTTCGAATGTAAAAAGAAATGTTTATAAAAATTATCAAAATCTAATGTCAGGCTTGGTAAACACTATGTATACGTTTTTATGAATACAGGACATATTATTTTTATATGTATAGATGTATCTATATATCTAAAATTTTATACAACTACCTTTGGTACAATTTCCCTCACTACTAACTAATATCGTAAATTCTCTTTGTTCAGTGTTATCAGCCTTTATAATCAGCTGAAATACAAAGCGGCAAACGAGCATTTAACTCTGCATTTAATTCTTTTTGAATTTTGTTTAGGAAACTTCTATTATATTGAACATCGCAAAACCACTAAAAATTATTATGTATTTCTTTATACAAATTTCTTTAATGAGCTTCGTCGAGCTATTACAATAAAATTAATCAAAAGGAAGCACAATGGTAGTTTAAATCTAATCTGTGACAAAAAAGGCAAGTCATCTTCTTTAATAAAAATTGATGGTACACGTTTGCTCGCGCCTCATAGTGCTCATAATATTTGAGGTCTAAATATTACATACGAAGACAAATTCTATCGAACAGTCGCAACGTATGTTTTCTCGTATCTCCAACGAGTCTCTGGTAACTCTGACCGTTTCGCGGGGTAAACCTTTGTGATCGATGTAGCTCTTATTCTAACTTCGATCGTGCTTACGTGAGTTCGTCAACGATTCGGTCCTTATATAAAAAGATAATTTTCGTAATCGGCGTAGGAGGAGGCAGTCACGACGTGTTTCGACGAGAGCGGCGTCGACGGGACGCTCTGCGGGAATTGCTGCAACCGCGGCAGCTGCACTTGCGGAAGATCCGTTCCGTGGGACACGACGATTCGCGACGTTTGACTGATGGAGCCTAATGACGATGAGTGATGCTGATCCCGATGGATGATATTGTTGTTGTTGTTGTTGTTGTTGTTGTTGTTAGCGGTGACGCTAGTTTTTCCAGCAAGATGATGCAGGCTCAAATGATTGTTGTTTTCGATTCTCGGATTGTAGTGGATAGGAAGACTATCGTGGAGATTCAGCCTCGACATCGCCATAGTGATGCTTGAGTCCGACGCCCACATACTCTGAAACGACGACGCCGGATTGTGTAACAGATTTGACTTTCTATTAAGCTCTTATGAATAATTCTGATGACAGCGTAATTACACGGATTGGATTTTACGACTACGATTTCTTTGTTTGAGTGCGCAATGTCTCACACTATTTGCTTCTTAAAGATTGATGGTACAGACGACGCTGAAGCTGATTCACTGCATGAGACATTAGCATTAGCTCTTTATAGACATAGCATCATAAACAATAAACTATGCATTATTTTTCGCGAATATGTTTTTCAAGTATATACGAAGCGTAATATCAAGAATTATGTCATTTTGACCAAGAATAATTTTGAAAAATTGCATTAGTTACTAAATGAAGAAATTTATCTGTTATACCTTCCGCCTATGCTGATTATAATCTGGATTGCGCCTAATGCGAAGATGTCGATCCGCGCTGGTCCACCGTTGTGTGACCTTGAGTGGGGAGTCGTCGGGGTGTAATTTCCTTTGGTACTCTTCACCTTCGCAGACCTCGTAGAGAGAGAATTGCTCCACCGGTTCCTTGGAACTATAGCAACTCAGCAACATCTGGATCAACTCGTCTACGGTGGTCTGCTCCGAGACCAAAAGACTTTTGTACTTAGACTGCGAACAATAAGCATTGAGTTTGCTCTCAATTACTGCAGTGCAGACTGAAATTTCTTCGAATATAACAGTTTTATTATCGTGTAAGTGCTCCGAAAGAATTTTAATTTTAGATTTAAATACATTTTTTATCTTTAAAAGTAGAATTGTTAGTTTCTAAAATAGAAAATACATTATGTTATATCCCGGTTATATCTATAATTTACAAATGTTAAATATATTTCTTATTTTTGTTGAACCATTACTTAAGTCTAAAATAGGGAATATATATATTATGCAGAGCAATTTACAATTTTTTATAAGTTTACAAGTTTCTTTTATGAAAATTCTTTTTATATGAACTACATTTTATATTAAAGTTTAGTTTATTAATATTGTAGTCTGTTGCGTCTCTTATTATACAAGAATAAATATTTATTTACCCCGGACATGAGTGCGCTGTCGTATATTTTGACGAGTCCGCCACGGTGTGTCTGCAACGAAAACCTGCAAACAAGGAGGAAACATACATAAGCAAACAAGTTTACGCATCCAAGATTCCACGACATCGACGGAGGAGTCGGTGAGTTCAAAGGGCACCAATGAGCGTTATTTTTATGTAAAAGCACGGGTTTGCGCCGGGAGACAAACGCTCTCGTCCTGTCCTATTACGCGTACAGTCGCGCCGGAAGTTTCAAACTACCAAGAAAACATCAGTCGCGTCGAGATTCCTTCGCAAATAAACCGTTCCAATTGTCAAAGAGCTACAGCGCGACTATTTCTTCTTTACAAGCTGAATTGTAATAATATTTTTCACGCACTATAATGCCGTGTCATGTTGCAACTTCTGCGTTACGATGCGCATTCGGTGCGCGTGGAATCTTAAAAATGTCCTCGTGCTATTGTCAACGATCTGTGATCTGTGACATTTACAGCCGAGACCGCTGGCGCTGTCAAAATTCCATAAATTCCGTTTTGTTTCGCAATCGAATATCCATATTTACATTCTTCGCGAACCGTATATCAAGGATTTACAGCGGCCCACGCGACCACTTGCGTCCAAGAATTATATCGGTGAGCGACGCGGAGGACGTCGACCATTGTTAAGCTCGTGCTTGGCGGTCCGCGGGATGTGTTTATGGTCGCGAGCCCTGAAATTACGTCACGAAGCCGACCGAAACCGAAAGGGCCGGTGGTCAAGTACAAAGGCAAGGCGAGGAACGTACTTGGAATCGCCGCGAGGATGGCAGGACTGCAGGACGGCTGGCCTCGCGTCCTCGTCGAGCGGCAGGGTGGTACGCACATTGGCCCTCCTCACGGTCACCTCCATGGTCAGATAAAACAACCGGGGGTCGCGGTGTCGCATGCGATACTTGTTCAGAAGGTTTTGCACAACCTCGCGACAAGTCGTCTCATAGGTGATGCTTAGGGTCTTGTATTCGATGTCCGGTCGCAGGCAGTTGGCGTAGACCTTGATGGTGGTCTGTAAAGAAAAATTTTGATTTCCCATTAATATAAATATTTATGTAATTTCAATTATTTTCGTTCTATTATCAGTCTTTCTAATTAAGATGATCGCAGAACAGATCATCATATTGTAAACTTATAACTTATAACTTAGTTTACAGTTCATAAGGACCACAAATCATGTTAAAACTTTAATATTATATTAATAAGTGGCCAGTTGGGTCGAATAAAACCATATCCTTTATAAATATTTATATCAATAATTTAATCCTTTTATAGAGCTACCTTAGAAAAAAAACATGAATGACTCGCTCTTGTCGGAAAATACGTTATAAAGGGGTAGGAAGAAGTCCTTTTCGTTTTAAGTTAAATTCAGTAGCTCAGGAAGGCGAGACGTTCTGGCGTTTTGGCGGCCGGTACAATAAAAAACCTCCAAAGACGCAGGCCTTGACAATTAGTCCATAATTAACTCGGGGACAGACTTTGCCACGCGCGCGGCATAAAACGCTATCAACCCCTCCCGATATGACTGGTTATGCAGGGATGCGCGCACCGAAAATAAACCAGACACCAGATCACCCCGTTCGCAGATGCCACCGCGCGCACGCATACGCCAACATTCACACATATAATACATCCGCTAGCCGGATTTATGCGGATTTAGAATAACAGATGTAACTTCGTGTAAAACAGAATTTATATTGAGACTGGAAAGACGTACATATATAGAAAGGCAGGATCCATAAAATTATACATTTTTTTTAAATAAATAATTTCGTTACATTAAATGGGTGCGAAACTTATTATACCCTATCACTAATCACTTTATTTATATACAATTTTTTATGTTTAAAAAATGTACCATATTTAAATCATTTTTTAAAACAAACCACTTCAGTTAAAAATGTTAGTATCCTCATAAATAATAGCATTCATCTTCAAAATAAGTGATAACTGAATCTAACTTTCACACCTTCAGCATTAAGAGCGTTCAGGTACCAATGTCACAAATCAGCAGCGTGTCAGGTTGGGTGTCGCAAACACGTGTTCACACGTAAAGGGGTCTTCCCTCGAAACACGAGTTTTCGTCGAGATTTTACGAGTCGGTTGTGCGCTTTTATCACTCTGTCGAAAGTCCTTTGACCCGAAACACGCCTTACGAACATACATATATATGTTCGAACGATCTTGCACGTTCATCTGAGAAAGGTTATTTCGTCAAAGCTCGTATAAATTAAAATCGTCGCAGGAAACCGGAACCTGTGTTACAAAATCCAGTCCGGATCCGGCTGAGTCTCTCTATCGTGCGAAATAAGCACGTTTCAATGACAATCGTGGGATTATACTTCCAATGCGCTTATTACAACAATGGCGTTTCATTGCGTACTGGCGCAATCGCGTATTGTAAGTTGAATCCGTTATTATATTACATTTCATCTTATTGTGTAACGTCATGGCGGATCCTTGAAGGAAGACACCGCCGAGGATAGATTTACAATTTCATGACTAAAAAGGAAATTATTCGCAACATTTATAATCTGCATTTAAGACAAAAACTATATATCGAAAGAATCTTGATTAACAAAGAATATAAATGTAAAATATTCTTTTCTATACATTTTTATTATTTGTTAACGCGCTTGTAAAAAAAAAATATACAAATCGGTATAAATTGGCTTCGAAATTCTCGGTGGAGTTTTACGATAACCACGAATCGATAGGGAAACATCGAGCCGGGCCTAACAAGTGGCACCCTAACGAAGCTGAAGATACACAGCGTTGGTGTAAATATACAACGCCTGGTATCCTGCAGAAAGATTTCCATCTCGCCAGTAAACTTTGCACGTTTTCGTAGAAATATTTTCGCATGCGTAGATGTAACAAAATTTCTGATTCAGCTACTTCTGTTAGAATTCCAATATTCTGACGTTAATACCGTTTATGCGAATTGTTTCAGTGCGCATGTACCAATCTTTGCAGAGTTTTTTTTTCCTACACCGCATCCGGGCGAGGTACAAAGATCGTTCTGAATCATACATTCTAAGTATGCCAATGACAGTTTTTTTCCTTTTAAAATTCTTAAGCAAATGATATATAAAATTTAATTCATAAAGGAGATATTTATTAATATCGTAAAATAAATTAGAACAGAGTTCAAATATACTACATACAAAATCAATATAAATATATATCTAGTTTATAATTTAATCTCAAAAAACAGCTCTTTAATTAATCTACTAAAAACAAAATGAAAATATCGTAAACGCAAATTTTAAATATTACCCATTAAAAATTAATCACGACAAAAGTCACTTTACTGAAAACCGCATCGAGGATCGTCTGATGAAGACAGTCGATCGAGCATGTTTTCATCTGACTGGCGGCTAATGAAAGGGAAAATAACGCGGGAGCTAGGAGGCATGTGAGTGTCAAAGCGAGGTCTGTGCCTCGTCAGGATCGAGAAGGACATACGACACTTCGTTACGAGCGGTAGACTCCAATATCTCGCACCCGCTTATACAGGGCGGACGGAAATACGTCTCGAGATATTTCGGTTCGATGTTTCTTCGAGTTGAAGAGTAATGCTTGCGTATGTAGATTGACACCGCCCGTCAAAACTGCCGCCTCAATTTCTATCTAGCCGTAACTACCGAGTTATAACATCGGTACTTGACACTAAGAAGAAATTAAAAAAATTAAAAAATATAATCAAACATACTTTCTTATTTTGCAACTTATTTTATTGTATCTCAACTTACGTACTGAACTTAAAAAACACTTATTTGTTCTCCGAAATATATTCATACCTTGGTTGGGGTTATCAACGTGCAACTCACCTTGCATAACGTGCGTGATGATATCATCGTCCGCTATTTATAAAACCACGCACGAGGGGGATTTTGATAACACGTAGACTGACTTTTCGTGCCCTTGATCTTATGTTACAGCCGGTAATAGGATGCAGCGGGTTTCTTTGCCATTGAAATAATAGCAGCTACCAGCGTGCATCACATTAACTTAGACTATATATGTGACGAGAGATATTAAGACAATAAAAGATATTAAATTTGTCAACAGTCTCTTATAATCAATCTGCATGATTATTCGCATACCATACGCTATCATATCATACGATTATGCTACGCGAATAATTCTTATTAATGTAAAATCATTATATTCACCATAGGATTTGAAAATTCTTGAAAGTGATAAAAACTCTTTTTCTGCATGCGTTACGGTATTCTAAGTTTCTCGTTATTCAAGTTCTATATGAATCTACAGATCGGTTTAATCGATTGCCTTCTAAAAGAAATCATAATTATACATCGGAGGTAGGTTGTCTGACGACTTCGCTTGTTTTCTACTCATTAATTGGTTAACGACGGATTCTACACGAGGAAAACAGCTATATTTTTACATCGCCCTAAAAACTCGTTCTGTAAATCGAAGCTCTAATAGGAAAGCCAGCTTGAGGAATTCGAAGAAGCGGAGGAACTGGAGGAAGCCTCGAAATTTAGCCGGTAATACGCCATATCGAGCACACGATGCGACAAAAAAATAAAGCGTAGAACGGAATAGCGGGCGCCATATGTCACGGGATGCCGTCGTAATGAGGGAGGCCAATTTAGCCGGAATCCATAAAAATCTCGGACTTGCCCTTCGCGTAGGAAGAACTTCGGTGGATATACACATATACAATTTAGAACTTTTGTGTCGTTAATTGTACAGTCAAAACCGGTAAATCAGCCATTGCCTTCTTGGACTTCTGCCGCCTTCCTGTTCTGATTCGTCCTGTTCTGCTAGCAGCTCATTGGCGCTCTAAATATAGTCGCCTTTATCGTAAGTTTATCGTTATCGGCTCAGTTCTCAACGTGCGCTTCGAAACGTCACCCGTTATACGTATCTCCATTTTGGAGCAAGGTAAGCGACACCTTTCAACGGAAACGCTCTTAATCGAGTTCGCCTTTTTTCTAATTAATAAATTATTTCACTTCTGCGTAATGAGTTTAAGATATTCATTTAAGTTCATTTCGACGTTTTCATAAGTATCACTTTTATATACGTATATCCTAATAATTACTTATCATTTTTAATTAATGTGAATATTACAATTACTTATTACGGTATAATTGTAATAACTGTGTGATATAATTAAATTATCTGATAAAAATTAATATGTTCAAGCATTAACTTTAAAATTTAATGAAATATCCATCTATTCTGAGACCCCTTATATTAAATATAAATAGGGGAGAGTAACGTCTGGGTCGACTCACTAAGTTATATTATCCTTAATGCGTGTTGTCTCTCGCATGGCGCCGTCTATTTATAATATTTGTTCTCCAGTTGATAAGATGAGCGACGCCGACGCTGTGTCCCGCTCGAGCGGCAATTGAGTTAAATAGTAAAAAAGAATTGTATTTAATGATAAATCCCGCCGTGTTTTACTTGAAAATTGCAAAATCAATCGATAAATTATGGACAGCGGTCCGCGTGTCATCACACGCCAGACTCTCCGTGATATTGTGTGTAATGTGAGGTCACGTTCAATTGCTCGAATCGCGATAGTGTCGCAAATTATGCGCCTGCTTGCTCCACGTGGAACTATATGCTGTAGAAATCCGTATAATCTCAGCATTTCTACGCTTTAATTATGAAACTTTATTGAAAGTATTATCATTATTTTTTTATTTTTTTTGGCAAGATAAAAATTTGTAAATTACAATTGTACATCACAAATATTTATTCACGTATATATTTTCTAAATATTTAAGTAAACTTAAATAATTAAGTGACTTGTGCGTTAATATCTTTCAACAAAGTCTCAAGACAGCCCATGAACTCCAACGGATATTCATTAATGTGTAAGTCATAATTTATCTTAAATTAAAAGTTAAAGTTAAAATATTAGGCGATATCGCGGGCACCCTGTAGATTCGGCGTATTCGAGGTGGACGGCGTTCGTTTCGTTCATTTCCATGCAACTCCACGTAACACATGAACAGCGGTTTCAAT